CTAACAGCATCCTTCTTCATGCAGCTACCTTAGAAGAGCTACTGGCTCCCACTCTCATTTACCTTGATATTCAAAACCAATGCAAATCATGCTGATAAAAATGTGTCGGGGCTGAGGCCCTACGAAATGCATTGAACAGAAATGTGTTTTCTTACCTAGTCGCTGTTGAATCACACCTCGCTTTCCTTTGATTTTTGTCTGCCTCACTATAATGATTTTGCTTGGCATTTTCTTTTCTTTTGCATAATGACATGCCTGAGCTGGAAAGATGCACGTGACCGAATTGAGGTAGCCCCGGTGAATCCTTGCACCGTAGCAAGGAACGATCAGTCACTCCTAGGAAGCTTTGCGGCTCTGGCTGCATTAGCAAAGTGTTCAGCCCACTCAGCACAGCACACTGCTCAAGTGGCAGCAGGGCAACACATTCAGCATCTAAAGAACCGCCGGATGTGCACAGAGCCAGCAAAGTGAAAATGCGCATCTGGATCTCAAGAGCTCAGGCATTGGAGTGGGCAGGAGAAGGACTCTTCAGCGCTCAGACGCAGCCCGATCACTGATGCTGGCTGGTAAGAGGTGCAGCATGGTGAGTGATGGAGCTAAGAGGAAAAACCCATTCGCTGTGCGGCAGAGATGAGCATGGTAAAAGTCCAGCCACCTGATCAATGAACTAAGCACTCATCCCCTGATCTGGTGTTTCAACAGGTTAGGTTTACAGATTTTAAGGGCATGATGGGCTCCTTGCTCATCTGATCTGATGTCCTGTATTATACAGGCCCAAGAATATCACCCAAATTCTCCTTGGTACTTGTGTTGGACTGAAGCACGCCTTGTAGAAAGGAATAATGATTGATTAGCTGACTGTTAGATAGGCAGACAGAGTCAAACCAGGCCAAGCCAAACCAGGGGTCTTAACCCTAATCCTTGGTTGGTCGTTACACGGGGTCACAGAAAGCCACAAAAATAATGACATCCCAAGTGCTAGCATTCCCTTGCTGAGTATTGATTGCATGTGTCTACATTCCCTACGGTAAAGTCACGCTGGGCTGGTGTGAAGAAGTTTAAGTGCTCTTTGCATGAATGCAATACTTGTAGATCCTTCTTCCAGTGTGATGGTGGTCACATTTGCTATACCATTTACAGGCAGGGAATCCAACATGTAGGAAAGGGAACCAAATGGTCCAGGATTACACAGTGGGTCAGGGGTAGACCTGGGGCTAGAATGAAAGTCTCTTGACCCTCGGCTCCATGAGCAACACCACAGACCACTGTGTGGTCATGAGACCTGGGGGGATCCGGTTTTCCCAACTCATAGCGACTTGCAAGATCTCAGCAGATTTCCTGCTTTGCATCAGGACAAAATGGAGCTCTGTCAAAGCCTGTCATAGAAAAAAACAGACACCAGCCCAATCATAAAGGCATTCACCGGGAGTGTGGATCACATGCCTACTCCGTCTCATTCAGAGAAGGCCCTTGAGCCTGAATCTACAAGGAAGCTCAAGTATGGAAATAGTCTATGAAAGCATCTTGGCCACTGTGTCAGGTAAGCAGGTTGCAGCTGTATTGGTCTAGAGGAAAAAGCAATCAGGACTCATGGTAGAGGTGATATTTTTTATTAGACCAACTAGATTTTTGCAAAAAATGTCTTTAATTGCAAGCTTTTGGGTACAAACACCCTTCTTCAGGCATCAGAGAACAGATTGTAAACGTTCTCCTGAACTTTCATTTCTACCCAGGAGAACATTTACAATCTGTTCTCTGATGTCTGACGAAAGTTGCTTGTGCCCAAAAGCTTGCAATTAAAGATTTTTTTTTTTGTTGCAAAAATCTAGTTGGTCTAATAAAAGAGATCACCTCTACCATGAGTCCTCTTGGCCACTGGGCACCTACCTAATCTAGTACGGGCGTGTTTGGAGGGATGCATCTATACTGCTTCCCCTGAAGGGACTCCAACTTCCCCCCCATGGACATTTAATTATTGATGCAAAATGGAGCTGCGCAGATAGGACACTGAGACTGGGGCTATAAGCATTTACCCAGGGGTGTGGAAACTCAAGCTGGGGCTGCCACCGCTCTGGTGAATGCCAGGATCACCGGATCCCTCAGCTGGTCTCTCGCCCAACTCCATGCAGAAGTGGAAAGACCTTGCTGGGGACCAGTGAACTTTCAACGTTGACATTTTCTATTAGCCAAAAATCACAACCAAATCTTTGCAGACCTGTAGCAGGATGCGGAGGCAGGAACAATAATGGGATTAAGGATGGGTGACCAGGGCATGAGCTCCAGGTGCTCAGGGCAGAGCGGCGAGGAGTGGGGGGCAGGAACTTACCCCTCAGCCTCCCCTTGTCTCCCCATAGGAGAGGGACCATGAGGGGAGGTGTCACCACCAGTTGCACATCCAGAAGCAGTGGCATGGACAGTGATGCTACAGAAGCAGCAGCAGAAGACTTTTCTAAGTCCTCGGATCAAGTACAAATTTCCCCTCCTTTCCCCTCTTTGCTCAATGGCGCCTACTCTTCCTCCCCACTACTCTGCTGCCTCCAGTCTTCCCTCCCCACCATGCACCGGGGCATGTACTCTTCTCCCTGCTCCCCCACTCACCGCTGCACTTGTCCCCACTGTGTCCACCTGAACTGGGGGCAAGGGGGAGGCTCTGGAGCTGCTCTGCCTGCTTTAGTCATGCTGTGCTCTAGGGAGCCGGTCTCAGCCAAGGACGGCAGCAGGAGTCAAACCCCTGCTCCCAGCTGAGCCTGGCTGGAGCGGGGCAGGATCAGCTCTGGAGCTCCTCGATTTGCCCCTGGTCAGATCTGCCTCGTCAGCACATTAACCCTTCCCTGGACCTTCAGCCACCATTGAGTTAAGGGCTTGGCTCTGTGTATCGCCATATGAATCGGTAGCAGCTGCGAGACTGAAGCAGGGTTAACTTGGTTACTGGCAGTGACCTTTCTCTTGAGGTCCCTTCCAACCTGAACTTTCTAACTTTCTAAGATTTCCCTTGCAGCAGCATCCTGCCCCCAATCCGCTCCGTGCAGCCGCAACCTTGAGTCCCTCTGCCCCCATTGCAGCGCCGTGGGGCGTAAATCCTATCAGGTACAAGTCTGCTGCCCAGGATGCAAACTCGACCAGGTAAAGCTCCAGCCAGAAGTTTTTTGTGGCTCTCTGTGACTCCCCACTGACACCGTATCTAACCCTACCTGGAAGCGTATGCTAGCATCCTGACAGCTCTGGCCTGTTTGCTCAGGGAGGAGGATGAGCATCACATCTATGACAAGCTGTGATCAGAGCCTCCTTTGGCACTGTCAGGACCCAGGCACGGCTCTCTTGCTTCAGCAACGGATGTAGCAGTGGGCCAGGCTATAGTCACACCTATGCCAATAGGCAGTGACACCTACACGGAGAACGTCAGCTCCAATAAGCAGGGCCGTTGCTCTGAAACATCCCCGTCGTTCCTAAAGCGCAGGCTGTGGGCGGCAGTCAGTGCATTCATGTAGCAGGCTGGCTGGAAGAAGCTTGCAGCAGCCCGCGCTCTCCCGGCTGCAGGAGCCTGCAGGTTGGCAGGGACTACAGCCCAGCTGTGGGCAGTAAAGCCTGGCTGCACACTGCCTCGGAGGACCGAGCAGCCGACATAGATGGCCACAGGAAGCTAAAGGCTCCTAGCAATGTGTTTCCTTGCTTATCGCAGTAATTAACTTGGCCCTGGCTCCGCAAGCTCCTGTTTGCGGTGGGTTTCACTCTACATCTACAGAGCCTGGCACGCCATATTGGCATTTGCCAGTGGCTGACATACAGCAGCAGCTGAGGCAATACAGTTGCCTCCTCCTCTTGTCCCAAGAAGAGTGATGCCCATCAGCATGTCCTTCCTCATTGCCAACGATGATTTTAAGGGAGTTCGCCTGGGCTAGAGCAGACAGAGCACTGCACAAACATGACCACGTTGCCTTCATGGCAACCCGCTGAGGCCAAGAGGATGAACCGTCCCATCTGCGCGGATGGGGAAACTGAGGCGCAGAAGGCTTCTGTTGACTCACCCACTGCCAAGGAGCCAGTAGCAGAGCCAGGAGGCCAACCAAGGAACTCCTCTTTCCCAGCCTTGTTACCAGCCCTCTAGACCTCATCGGTAGCCCAGAGGCTCAGCTAGGAGTGTTTTCTCTAGCTGAAGGAGCAGAGATTTACCAAGTGAGCGCAGCAGGGACCTGGAAGGAGTTTTGTACACCGAGGCATCACCTTACGCAACGGCCGAGGCCGTGTGGACCGTCGGCAAAAACATCCATCAGCCGCTGAGCAGAGAAGTGCGTGTGGGGTCAGGGCAGGCGCGAGGGGCACTTACATGGTAATGTTTCTGCACGGTTCTTTTGGATCATAATGCAGAGCTGTAGCACCAGTTGGGGGGCGCTCTCGAGGAAAGTCTCCAGGAGGCGCAACATGTTTACGTCTGCATATTCGTACATCATAGCCCAGTAAAAGCGCCGCTGGTGTTCCTTCTGCCGCTGGCTCTGGATCCCCAGGTACATGGTTCGGATATACCTGCAAGACAAGCCAAGAAGGAGTCAGCGGTAAAGCAACAGCACAACGGCACCAGCTACCGTGTCAAATGAGCCTGTGGCCCAGGCAAGGGGAGCAGCTTGAGCAAGGACAACGCGTGCTCTCTACAGGGGCTGACGGCTCTTAGATTTGCAGATGGTCGAAACCAACTCCCACCTGATTTACAACTTGCCTTGAACCCCACCACTTTCTAACCCCAAGTGCAAGGAGCCCTGACCACCAGCACAAAAAAATTACATTCAAATAAGAAACTGATACCTCACCTTGTTTTCCCAACAGGGAAAAAAGGGGGAGAGAAACCCACCCAACCAATACTAGTCTTGCCACTGAGTAGAGGTGATGTACAACGAGCCTGGAGATGACACCAGTATAAGATGTCGAAGAGAGTAAATCAGACTCCTCTCCTCCTCTTAAGGCAGGGAAGCCTTAATTTTGCTGACTGGAAGCTTCTTCAAGAGCTTCTTCAAGACCAGACCTAATTTTCCTTAGCTGACTGGAGCCAGTCACTTTTAAGAAGCAAGTACACGACCTGCAAAGACTGCAGGGCAAAGCATGGCAGGGGCCAGGCTGTTCAGGGCTTGCTGGAGTTTGGGAATGAGATGAAGCATCATCTCATATGCTTCACCTCTATCATACGCATCCTCTCATATGCTTCACCTCTGTTTTGTCACCACCTAGCCCTCCGTATTACATGTGAGAGCAGCTGCGCACCCTGTGCCTGAACTGCACTGGCTCTGCAAACACACGTTGGCCAAGCCCTGCCTTCCAGGGAGGTGACAGAGCAACGCTCTTCTAGGATACCGCCACGGAGAAGCTAAATGATGATTGTCAGTCCCATGCCTGAGTCTAATCTTGTCTTGATCAGGCTCTGTTTTACCCTGCCTGGTGTTTCGTGAGTCCGCACACGCATGGCCCCACTCCCACCAGTGAGAAAGACCGGGCTGCAGCAATTACAGAGGAGAGAATCCATGCACATAAAAAGTGCTACCCACCACTGTTGTTAACAAAGACGACACCTCCTAAGAAATTAACCTCCTTCTTTCTAATATTTGTGGCTTTAATAAAGGGTTCCCTTTCCTCCTCCTCCCTCCTGAGACGACGTTATAATTGCACGCTGTGGAGCGCCAAGTCAACAGCCACGAAAATGATGCGAGGATGTTACCAATCTGGCGCAATGACTTTTCCGTAGGTTCAGAGATGAGGCGGCAAAGACCGCCATTTAACTAAACACCATTTAAATGCAAACAGCTAGGATCATTAGGAAAACATGTGGCAGGTAAACGGAGCTGTCTTTTAAAAGCAGAAAGTCAGAGTGGATGAAAGCCCAGCTTCGAGGCAGATGCTGTCAAATTAAAAGGAAATATCAAGAGATGTACTTCAGAAATGATACTTTGAGGATCTTGGAGCATTGGAGCCATTCAGTATTGTCATCTACCATGGGGGGAGGTAGGACTGGCTATACCAGTGGTGCTGAAGACACAGCCCATGGGCCAGATCCAGGCCCTGGAGCCATAGCTTCCAGCGCTTGAAGAGGTCAAGGGTTTGGGGGCAGGTGAACAGAGGGCTGACCATCTCATTCCAGGGTACAGAGCCCTGCTGGGGACACATTTTGACAGTGGTGGGATGAATGATGGATGCGTTAATCCCTGCGGCTGTCTGAGCTGACCCAGCAAATCAGGCACCTACGGTGGTTACCGGTGCCACCCTTTGCCCTGCTCCTGGATGGGGTCCAGATCCAGCCTGCATGTTCTAGATCTGACCTGGGGTGCCAAGTGAGTTGGGCACTCCTGTTTTATACCACTCATGCATGTCAGGTAACGGGGGCATTCCTACACAGCCCACTTGGCACTGCCTACCCAAACACTCAAAACTCAGGAACTGGGCCCTCCAAACTCATGCTTTTAGTTTCAAAACAGGACAACAGGACATTTCCAAACTCTCTAATGAGGTTTCGATTTCTGATATTGTCCTTGCAGTCTCTGAAGTCAAGTTTTCCAGCTTTCCTCTATGACCACCCACGCTAGAAATTTTCTATAGTTTTCCCTGAATTTATATGAAAGCAGAGAATCTTATGAAATGCCAGGATTGCCAGAGCAGGGGTTTTAAGAAAAATATTAATTGCCTCAAGATTAATAATAAAAATGCATGGTGATGGATTTTCTTAATTTTTTTTTCATTTCAATAAAAATAGACTAATCTGAGTCATTTTTGGTCATTAGGTTCAGACTGTTATATCATAGAGCGATACTGCAATGTCTTGGGGAAATAGTGAAGGGAATGTGCATATCATCTAAATGCACATATATAAAACACCACACACACACACATCACCACACACACAATGTACATATATAAAACACCACACACACATACCCCTGCCCTGGCAATCCAGGCATTTCATATATGCACACGTATATTGAATGCATGTACACACATACATAAAACACTCCTTCCCATGATTTTTTTGCTAATGTTATATTTGTTAACATTTCTATTATTAGGAGACTTCATAAAAATAATCAGCATTTAAATTCTGACAAGGCCTCTTGAAGCAATTTTAAACAAGTGATCTCAAAGATTTTTTTTTCCCTAGTTAATATTTTGATTCTCAAATCCTGGCATGGTG